GAAAACGAAACAAAAGAAAGAGAGAGCTACGGTAGTAAGTAGTTGTAACGTGTAACCCATAACTGCTGGAAAGCAGACCTGACTTCGGATCCAGAACATATATTGCTGGCCTGCTCCATTCTCACATGAAATTTGCTGAACGTCTCTTGAGACGTTGGGACCTTTGCAGATGCACTGGGGTCCTTCGAGAAAACGACAATTCAACAAGGAAAACGTGTGCTCAATTTTTTTTTCTGTGCCCTTCGACATTTTAGAAGGGAGGGGCACCATTGGCTACCTCAGCCAGCCCTCTCGAAATTTTTTTTTACTCTATTTATTGGGGTGCACACGCATGGTTGCGTGTGCACTAGGCGCCACACGTGCGTAGCTCGCCCGCACGCGATGCGCCGGAGTATAGGGGTGATATAGGGGGTTATGGATAGTTTAATAAGGGTGTTGGCGGCTGTTCAGGGTTGTTGGGGTGGTATATGGGGTATTGGGGCTCGCTATGGGGGTGTTGGTGATATTATTAGGGGTTCTGGACCCCATAAAAAATTTTAAAAAAAATGTGGGGTGCCGACGACCCCCGACCAGTAGGTGCCGACCAGCCGACCGGTCGGCGGGTCGGCAGCCGACCAGTCAAGGGTCGCCGACGGTCGGGGTGTGCAACACTGCTTTCAGTATCATCGCTTAGAGGACTCTGCAGACTGCAGAAGGTTCAGCAATGTGATGGGTCAAGCGAAACTCCGACAAAAACAGTCTGTCCCAGTCCCCCGTTTCTTCTACTCTTCCCCCTTTCGACCTAAGGCTGGCTGGGCAGTTCTATACGGCAATATAAAGGTTTCTACGAAAGTTCTGCGGGGAGGAATTGTTGTTGTGCATGCGCATGAGTGCAGTGTGGCTGTGCACCGCACATGCACACTTTGCGAGCATGTTGTGCACCGCAAGTATGATCTGAAGATATATCTGCAAATGGAAAGCTGAAAGGAGTACACACGGTACAATCGAGCCAACCAGAACGCCCATGGCTCTAAATGCGCTCCCCTCCCCCCCCCCCCCCCCCCCCCCCCCCCCCCCCCCCCCCCCCCCCCCCCAACTCCCCCAGCATTGGCCGCAGGGTCCATGGTCCACTGCGCGCCGGATTCGGGTCGAAGTTTTGGTGAGAGGAGGGAGATAAAGGCGATCGACGGTGGAGGAGTGTGCAGAGGGGCACGCGTATTGAAATGTTCACAGCGCGCCATTAAACGAGAGTACGCACCCCGGGGGCGAGGCACACGGTGGGCGTCGATGCTGATGAACATCTAGGCAGTGAGCAATCCAATATGCGGGCGGCCTTTTTTTCCTTTTCTTTTCCCCGGTTGGCCGTCATTTTGTGTCCCCGTTTCCTTTTTCTTTTCTCATTTCTTCCCCGGTTGGCCGTCTTTTCGTTGTCCAGTTTCATTTTTCTTTTCTCATTTCTCGCGCCTGTGTCGTTTTGTGTCCCCCCGCCTGTTGTTTCCTCCTCTCACCCAATCAAAACAGCATTCTAACAACACAACCACACCTATGAACCTCCGTCAATCATACTTGCCGCACATAAGTGAGCTGCGCTGTGCAGTGCAGTGCGCTGATTTTAGATGTGCGGAAAAAAAAAAAAAAAAAAAAAAAAGAAGCAACCGTGATGCGTGTATACACGCTGGAGAGAGAGAGAGAGAGAGAGAGAAGAGCCCCTTGGCCCCTTTCACATTCTTTAGAAAACCCACGCCCGCACTTCAACAGTTCCCTGCCAACTTAGCAAGGATTTTGTCAGCAGGAGAAGAATCGTCGCTGGGCTGGCAGTAAGGAGGGAGCAGGCCAGCTATATATGGTGTTGCTTCGAATTCAGGTCCGTGTTCGAATTCAGTTATGGGTTACTGACTTACTAACTCAGCATGTGATTTTCAGGGCTTCACTCCACTACTCACCAAATGTGCAAAACTACAATGAATCTCCTCCTAGAAACTGGAACCATACAAGCAGAGAGACAGCTACTGCAATGTTTGTTCGAAATCCATAACTCTTTGGAACACAGACCTGAATCCGAATCCAGAATACACTGCTGGCCTGCTCGTGATCCTCCAGCAGTTCAGTGAACGTCCTTCCAAATGAGTGGGATCCCCGCATCACGTCCGCGCGCACGTGTGCGCGTGCGCTATGTGGCGAACGTGCGCAACTTGCCCGCACATCATGCGCCACATGTATGCCGTCAATACATCGAGATTTCGAATTCTCTTGGAGAACGTAACTTGCAGGCAACACAGTGTGTTAACGGGTCTTTCTCCTTTCTTAGCAGAAGAAAGGGAGGGAACCAAAAAAAAAAAAAAAAAGACGTCAGAGGATACGTTGTGTGCCCGACTCCTGCTGGAATCTCTCTGCTGCATCAACATACCCTTCTGTCACCAAAAAGTTCATAATCAGTCTGTTCATATCTTCCTTCCTCACTTTGACTTGTGCAAGCCTCTTTTCCCATTCCTCTTTTGACACTGCCCTCCGCTGCAATGCTTGCTGAGACAGAAATAACACACACATGCCACCAATCCAACGACAAATTTCATCGTCAACAGAACGAGCAAAACACCAACTTTCACACTCACTGACAGTCGGCATCATCGCCTTCCAGCAGGCTGACATGCAGGCATTTCATACAAGCAGGAGATGAGACAGCTGGACTGAGAGGCAATGGCCAGAGAAGGCGTCCTCCATGACCCCTGATGTGCAGTGGGCGGTTGCATTGCCACAACAGCAGAGACTGAAGAGTCCCAACCAGGGGTATAGAAGGGTTGGGGGGGGGGGGG